AAGTTATAGACGTTTATCAGTCATTTGAATCACCCCAAAATGAAGTTGATAAATCGCAAAATATATCCTTTGATTTTATAACAATCAATATAGAAGTACAAAATAATTTTTAATTCCTTAACTAATGAATACGCTACATATAGCTTGCCTCATTTGCCAATAGGGATGCCCCTTCTCCCAGTAAAAGGATTTGACTCGCACCTTCGTGCGAAGTCAAATCAAGAGGTAGTTGCTAATAGACAAGAATTACGTATAGCTAATATAAATGCCGCTCAATTATTAAAAGCAGAATTAAGTAGTTCCGACACCGCTACTTCAACAGCAAATATTAATATAACAATCGATAAAAACTCAAATTCATCACTTCAAATGGATTATGGTAGTTCTGAAGTTTCAGTTAAACAAGATATCGTTGCCAGTAGCGATGAGGCTTTATCAACATCATTGACGTTGCCATCAAAAAGAAAAAAAGATGAGATTGATGATGAAATTACAACGACGATTGAAGGAGATGTTAATGATGATGACGATAATTTACCAAGCACGTCAAAAGATGAAGATGAAGATCATGCTGATTCAATTAGGTAATTAACAACTATAGACTACTTATAAATATCGATAACTTTAACACCTTTAAAATATAATTATTGATAGACTTTGGGAAGCAGGATTTAAAGAAAGATATTATAAGCAAAAATTTGGTGTTGAGCTACCGAATAAAGAATTTCAAAACAAGTATGTCATCCCTAAAATAAAAATATTGCATTATAATTTTATTAATTTATTTGTTTATTTCACAGTCTTGTAAAGAGTTATATAGAAGGTCTCTGTTGGGTTTTAAAGTATTATTATCAGGTATATTTTTATAATTATTGTTATCGTAAATGGGCATATGTTAACATTTAATTATAACATAAATATTTATAGGGTGTTCCATCGTGGAAGTGGTATTATCCTTACCATTATTCACCGTTTGCATCAGATTTTATCGATATTGGTGACATTCAAGTCAACTTCGAATTAGGTGAACCTTTCAAACCATTTGAACAGTTAATGAGTGTATTACCTGCACATAGGTAACTATATTGTATTTCTGTTTAATTTATATTAAGTATGTATTAATAATAATTCAAAAAATTATAGCAAAGAGCATTTGCCAGTACCTTTTCATAAACTTATGACTGAAGAAGATAGTGAAATAATCTGTTTTTATCCTAAAGAATTTAAAATTGATTTAAACGGGAAAAAATTTGCATGGCAAGGTAAGATATATATTTTTATTAAATTCCTATGCATTTATCTTCTATATAATTCAATATTGCCTTTTAATCTTTCATAGGAGTTGCTCTACTTCCATTCATTGATGAGTCGCGTTTACTTAAAGCCATAGAGTCGGTATATCCTCAATTAAATACCGATGAGATTACAAGAAACACTCGTGGATCTGAAATTCTTTGTTTTAGCAACAAACATCAATTATATAGTAACTTATCTTCTATATACTCAAAACATGACTCAGTAAAGGTGAGTTTTAATCATCAAATTTTCAAATTATGAAACTTCGATATTTTAAATAATTTTTATTTTAACTCTAATAATAGCCAATGCCATTGGATCCAACTATTAGTGACAAACTGATTGGATTTGTCTCAAAAGATCCAAAATTTATACCTGAAAGTACATTTCGTTCACCTTTAATTGAAAAAAATATGCCAGATATTGCTGTTGATAGATCATTGAGGTAATTTCACCAATAATTGATTTATTAACACGCTTTATTTTTATTAGAATCGTAATATAATTCTTGCATATTTTTAGTGTATTCTATCACCTTCCAGCTAAAACAGCTAACAATGCACATAAATCCATCCTTTTACGAAATGTCAGGATGGATTCTCCAGTATTGGGATGGGAAGATCATGAATGGATAAGAAACGGTGGTAGAGGAAGAGGTAGAGGTAGAGGTAAAGGTAGAGGTTTTTCAAGAGATGACCGTGCTTATCACAACAGTCATGATACGCATAGCTACCAAAATAAACCTCCCGATACTTATCTTCCCGATTATCAAAGTAGATCCAACATAAATATGTATGGTGATGATAGAGAATCACGTCGGAATCATTATATTTCTAGTAGTACTTCAGGGAATCATTTTAACTATCATGACACATCACGTTACCAGTATAATTCTAACAATTACCATGAGAACAGAGGCTCTTCGCAATATGGAAATCGATATAGTAATAGTCATAGTCAAAGATATAATCGTGTAAATCCTGCTCGCGGCACAAGTGCAAATTCACACAATATTCCACAATCGCCTTATGGTCAACATACCAGATTTGATAAATATCATAATGATTATAGACGTGATCATTGAAATATCTTTCCCTTACCGGTTATTTAGAGAAAAACATTTTGTTCTGATAGGTTTTTTTTTTTTTTTTTTTTTTTTTTTTTTTTTTTTTTTTTTTTAGTATTAATATTTTAAATTAAAATAACAATATAATTTTTATATTAAAATGTGTCAATTATTTAATAAATAAATATTACTTGATTTCTAATAATCTATATATATCATTATTAAGAGTTACAGTGACCTCCTGATACAGAAGCGTTTATATTATTAAGTTCTATCAAAGACTTTTCAGATCTTTTACTTTTACGCTATTAAGTCAGATTACAGCTAACAGTTAGCATAGCATAAAGTCTAAATTACGCAGTTATAAAAGTCTGAAAAATCTTGCTATATATAATTGGTAGGCTATATAACATCAGAAATCTTTAAAAGAGCATATTAGTTTAGGAAGATAATTAGATAGATATCACATGAGATTATTTACACCCAAAATTGTATTAATCCTGAGTGTCAGTTTAAATACCTCTAAAATTCACTAAAAAAGAAAAAGAAAAAAATATAAGAAAAACAGTTAAGAAAAATGGTAAAAAAATATTTTGGAATTATTTTTTAAATAAAAATATGAAAAATAAAAAGATGAAGATGTTTGAAAAGGAAATTTTGTTTTTATTTGCAGGTTAAGCTGTAATCACTTTTGAATGTATACTCACCTAGCAAAAATGACCGATTTTACCAAAATCGGAATAATAAAACATACATTAGCGTCATAAGAAAAAAATTTTTTTTATTAATTAAATTGACTTTGGTATTATAAATAAACTTGTACATCGTAATGAATTGTATCTTTCTTGACAATCGTATATAAATTTGGACTTTTATTGAATTTTATATT